TACCCCAAGGACCTGAGAGCCTTCCAGGGGACCCAGAAGGTCAAAGCTATCATCATAATACCAAGACATTATTTCCAGTTTTTACCCTCATTCCCTCATGAGTATACACTGGAGATTTCCAGAATGTCCCTGACGTGCGATATCGCAACACGCTGTCAGCAGGGGCAGATCTAAGACGCCGATGTATCTTCTGTGAAGCTGGACGTGGCAGAGATTCCCCGACTGTAACGCAATGACATTCCTCTTACTATTATTTTTGGTTTTGAAAATACAGGTATTTTCCCTAAAAATATGTTATGCTAGGATGTAGTAGACTTGCTGTTCTGTTTAAATGCGTTAGTAAGTGTTTAAATTTTTTCTCCAGTTTTAGTTTGGAACGCAGTGAGCCTTGATGGCTGCAACACACGTAATAAAGGCTCGTGGCTCCCAGACAATTTTGAGGGTGCAAAGGGGTCCTGAGACCAAAAACAGGGATCGTGATAGTATCCGCTTCAAAGAGACTGGAAGCCTCTGGAAGCTTCTGGAAGCTGATGTGGAGAAACCAGGGGACGGTGGGGGTGCGCCAGAAGCTCGGTCGCTATGATACAGTGTGTAAGGAGAGGCTGAGGGTGACTGCTTGTTCCCAAGGGTGGAGGAGGAAGGTTAGGGTCAACACTGCTAGCCAGAAGCATATTCTTAGATCGCACCAAACTTTCCCTGAGCCCAGGAAAACCGAGGCTGCTTTGCATTACCTCTGTGCTGAGCCCAAAGAGGCCGAGGCCCCACTGGAGACGAAGCCACATGAGCCGCGCCCTTGTGGGGCAGCAGGGCTCCCTGGCTGAGGGTCGCTGACAGGGATCCTTAGCAGCTGCTGGTGACACGGAGGGCTTGGGCCCGGGTTATTCCTCTCAACCTCTAACCTCTCTTCTGTAGAGCCCAGGAAGCCAGACATGACCTCTCTTAGGTTCCTTTGCAGCTGGCGTACTACTGTTAGGGGCTGAATTATGTTCCCGAGAATTCGGACGTTGCAGCCCTAAGCCCCCTTGTGTGACTATACTTAAATGGGGTCATCAGGGTGGGGCCCTCATCCAAGAGAATTACTTAGTGGCCTTACGAGAAGAGGGAGAGAGGCCAGAGATGTGTGCACAGGGAAGGGCCACGTGGGAGCACAGCAAGGGGGCCATGGACAAGCCACACTCCCCTTCTCCCCTCTGCCACGACGTCACGGGGGATCCCTGGGATTAGCTGACTAAGAAGAAGTTGAGTCCGGTCTTCCGAAGGTTCCACACAACAGTCTGAAATAAGGCAGCAGGCTGATACAGTGTCCTAACCCCCACTGCGGGGCAGGCCCTGTAAGGACAGAGGAACCCTTGCACTGAGCAGGACTCTGGGTTTCCTGAAAGCGGACATGGTCAGACACGGCCCCTCACTAATTCCTGGGCAGCGCCTAACCACTTGGCTGCATGGTTAGAAGCTTGGGAGGAGCGAGACCAGGGGAACTGTTGACGCGTCTGGGGCGGGGGCGGGGACAGGGAAGTTGTAGGTAAGATCCTCTCAGAGGGAGTCCCAGGCGTGACAATGATCGCACCCTGCGTGACCGTCACCAGAGTGACGGTGGAAGCATCAAGCTTTTGGTGGTGCTCTTGCTCTGGTAGCGGGCACCATTGGTGGAGGGATCTGTCTGGAACCCTCTTGCAGAGCAGCAGCCCGGCCACCGACAAGGCGGAGCCTTAAACCACAGAAGGGCCACACGAACTCGCGTCTGCTCCGCGTTCCTAGGAGAAGGGTTCACACCCCAGAACACAGGGGGCTGTGCCCCGACGGCATCCTGCCGACGGAGGAGGCGGGCAGCAGGAGACCAGAAGGCCGGAGATCACACACTCAGCAGCCACTCCCCACCCGGGAGACCCTCCGAGGGGACACGACTCCTACGCTCCCAGCTGGGACCCGGTCAGGGCCCATTGGCACGGCAGGAAGACCTGATGGAAAAGTCCTGCGGCACCCCTCCCCCTTCCACTGCGATTCGAGCACGTATTAGGTTGTTCGGCAGATTCGGTCCAGTTTCCTACACTCGGGAAAGAGAAGCTCTCCGCCGCAAATCCATTTCCCGAGTAGCCAAGGCGCCTTCCGGTTCCCTCCAGTCCCAGCCAGTCGTACGGCTTCCTGCAGCCACACAGGCCGACTTTGCCGCCGCCATTCCCATCTGGTCCCTCTGTCCCCACCTCCCCCTCCATGAAACTCTGCCGCTATTTGCTTTTGCCTCGGTACGCCCGCCCGGCCTCTTTATCCTTTTCAGCGCAGCCGTTACAACCTGCTCAATTGCCTCGCCCCAAATAGTAACACACACACCAAATTCTGGAAACCGGGAATAGTGACTTCACCAACCAAACGTCTGTACCTCGGGCCCACGATGGATGCAAAACAACCTTTTGGACTTTCAAAATGTAATTAGCATTCCTAATTAAGTTAAATGGTATTTCTCCAACATTCCCAAGAGCAGGCAATGAAGGATAGAATACCTAAACACCTCACCGGCTCCTGTCTCTTGTAAAATAGACCCTTATAAAATCTGTCCTAGAGGTTTTAGGGAGTGAGATCATGGGTTATGCTCGCCTTTCCAATGCAGAGACAGTCGTGGGGCATCTATTCAGAATGAGACGCTCCCTCATAAGACTTGGTTCGATTACTCACGTGGGACACTGATTTGCTGTGCGACTTGAGGCACGTTTGTCTGAGGTCATGGTCTGTAACTGAAGACGTTTCCCAAGCAGGGGCTCCTCCGTTGTCTCGGAAAGCTTTATGAGGCCATGAGCTTCATCTGATGCCAGAGGAAGAATTACCAGCTCTCTGTGCACATGTCCGTCCCATTCCCAGCGCGGATCCGGAAATCATGGGCTGCCAGCCTCTGGAAAGGACTCGGTGGTTTCTGGCCCAGATCTGTGCAGTCCCTGAGCATGTCGGTAGAACCTGGAGGGCGCCAGGGGGCCTTCTGGGGAGATGCAGGGAGACTGAGCAAAGCTGCACAGAAGGACATTTGAAGGAACCCCGGGTTGCCAGGTCTGTTTGTGAGCTCTCCCTTAAACGTCCGTGGTCCTCATGTTCCTTCAAGTGCTGAGGAAACGCGGAAGTCCTCCCAGGATCCTCCACGAGTGCGAACGTGCTGTCTTTCTATCCCCCAAGCCCCCGTTACACTCCAGCTCCCAGCTGTCCCTCCCCTCCCCTCGCAGCCCACCTTCATGGGTGAATGAGGATGAGAACAGCATTTAGCTCAGAGTGCTGTGTTAGGATTAAATGCCTTGGTTTCCACAAAGTGCCTAGAACAGCATATGGCATGTAATGGTCCTCGCTCAACACAGCTGTTATTATTGTCTTTCAAATCTCAGCTTAAGGCTCCTTTCTCAGAGATTCCTTCCACGGCCTCGCGGTGAGGGTCAGGCTTTCTTAATTCTCACCTAAGCTGTAATTAGGTATGTCTGGTGGTGTTTATTATTACCCCCACCTGGGATACTATCAGATCAAAGGGAGCGGAAATTGCCTCTGTATTTGTCAACATTGTATTCCCAGCGCTTAGCACAGTGCCTGGCACTTGACAGGAGCAAATAAACATTTGTGGGTCATACAGCCCCCGAAGGAATGGGTGAGTGAATCTGTGAGTGCCCATTTGCATCCAAATATGAATGGAGGCTGCCTATGGAAGCCATCTTTGGCTGTGGAAGCCATCTTTGGCCAAGGGATACCTGGTGGCTTGATCAACTGACTATGACTCCCAGAGGGAGCCTTGTAGGGAGTCCCTTGGGGCATGAGAAATGTCCCTCTGTGCATGTCTTGGAGAAGCTGCTGTTTGCACAGGAGAGTCATTAATTCAGACTCTGTGACATGGAACAAATCCTGTTACTCTTTGGGTCCAGGGCTTCAAAAGCATGGTTAGCTACTTACTAGAATCCTTCGGGAATTTTCGAGAAAAGCTCACACTGCTGAGTCCCACCCCACCTGCAAATCCCCAGGAGTTTATCCTGGGAACCTGTACGTGTCAAAAGCTTCTCAGGTGATTCTGCTATAAGCAGCCTGCACAGACCGGCACTTGAGAATCCCTCATCTTGTCAAACTCTGTCATTTTATAAAGGAAGAAACAGGCACACTGACACCGTATCAAGATTGAGAGCATGACTGTTTTAATCAACAATGAAGTAAACATAATTTGCCCGGGACCAGAAAATATGCTGTGCCTTTTGAACCAGCACATAATACAAATAATGCATGTTAGGGTCCATTAGCATGGCAGTAAGACCTGATGGAAAAGTCCTGCAGCACCCCTCCCCCTTCTATTATGATTCGAACACGAATTAGGTTGTTTGGCAGATTCAGTCAAGTTTCCTGCAGTAGACTTACCACACTTGGCTGGGGTGTATTTGCCAAGTTCAACACAGAATGACCCAGTGCTGACGGCCCCAGACACAATGCCAAGTCCCTCCATGTGGGGCTCTGCACCTGAGGGTTCCTGGTTTCTGAGAACACAGCAAAGCGATCCTTCTAAACTCAGTTTCTCAACCTGGGCACTATTAAACTTATCAGAGAATTCTTAGATGGGGGCCGGGGTAGCTAGCCCATGCACTGTAGTGCTGAATAGCATCCCTGGCTTCTACCCACGAAAGAACAACAAAAATGTCAGCAGACATTGCCAAATCTCCCCTGGGAAGACAAAATCATCCCCTCTCCCCCTCTGAGCATTATTTATTTATTTAACCTTATAAATTTATTACATTATTTTTTATTTTATTTTCATTTTTTTAATGCTTATTTATTTTTGAGAGACAGAGACAGAGTGCAAGCTGGAGAGGGGCAGAGAAAGAGGGAAACACAGAATCTGAAGCAGGCTCCAAGCTCTGAGCTGTCAGCACAGAGCCCGATGTGGGGCTCAAACTCACAAACTGTGAGATCATGACCTGAGCCAAAGTCAGACGCTTAA